GTGTTTGTGTTTCCTCCAGCCAGATAGGACCACAACCTTGCTTTGTATATTTCCGCTAGGCCATCATGCTAGGTGGCAGGGGCCTCCCAGGCTCAGTCCTCCTTCAACAGAAGCAATGATCCTGAGAAGCTACTGACACCTGGGTCCTGGGACAAGTATTGCACTGGTGGTGGCTACCAGGTTTTTAGAGACCCCTTTTCCCTTTATTTGTCTAGGTGTCTCCTCCGGGGTATGGGGGAAGAATCACTGGTTTGCTGCGGCTGTAAGGACTAGGGAGTTTCTTCCCCAAAGGATCCTCTGGATCAGGGTGCTCAGTACTTGTTCAATTGGTCCCAGTTGTATACAGCGTGTGGTGGCGTGTGCACTGCAGCCGCCGGAGAAGACAGGGGAGTCAATTCCACCACTTGACTCTGAAGTAATTTCCGCAAGGGGTGGAAGTGTGGGGCCACCATCTTTGTAGTGGGTAGCAGTAAGCTGCAATGCAAGCATGTTTAACGGAGCACACAAATCCTAAAATCAGGACGCCGGATCAACAGTGCCAGCAGATGGACAAGGGTACATGGACAGAATCCCATTGGTCTTCTATTTTAGCCAGACAAGGAGGTCCGGATGTGTCAGGGCCTGGGTCCGAACCTGGGTCTTCTGCGGTGAGAGGCAATGTTTCTTCTTGCTGAGCCACCTGGAATGCTGGACAGCTCCCTTGACAATTATTTGGATGATCCTGCCTTGACCTTATTTATCTTGAACCTTGAACCCCTTGCTCCTCCCATGAACTTCCTGATAAAAGCCATGTCTCTGCATTTCCTGTTTGCCAGGTTATTGTGCCTTCTCCAGCCAGTATCTCGCTTGTCTCTCTTGCTGCCGTCTATACTTTCGCTACCGACCTTTGGCTTGTTCCTGGACTACGATTTTGCCTCATCCTCATCTACTACCGCTTGTTACCGACTCTTGGCTTGACTGACTCCGCTTCTGCTAGATCCCTACCTGCTCTATCTGCTATTGGATGCCGGCTTGCTCATTCCCTGGTGGGGTGATCCTGAGAACTGCGACCTGGTACTAACACGCAGCTAAATCCATCTCCACCATTAGGAGCTCTGGTGGAAACCGGTTAGTGCTTAGACCCCGCACCTCAGGTGAGCCTGCGTCATTTCCCAGGGTGACCTGCTGGTGTACCTATCCTGCTGGTTTCAGGTAAGCCTTACACTGCTATAGCAACTGGTCTCTGAACTTGACCCCTGACCGTGACAGAACAATCTGGCCCAAATATGGAGGCCACTATAACAATCGTTGTGGCTCCTCTTAGGCAGCAAATTGCTGAGCTGCAGGAATTCGGGGTTACCCATCAAGAAAGAGTTGCCAAACTAGAAAGCATAGTGGATAGGCAACAGGGAGAGATTCAGATTCTGCAGAGACAACTGCTGAACCAAGATGATACCAAATCACATATGCCCCAGCCCCAACCATCTAAGTTTAATAGAGACCGCCGCCACTACAGGGGTTTCCTTACTCAATGTCGTATATTTTTTTTACAAATGCACCCTGCTGCATTTCCTTCAGAGAAAAATGTTTACTAGCTGCTTGAAAGGAATACCTGTCCTCTTGACTAGGCTGCACTCAGTGACCTACTTAGCAAACTTTTTTACCTGTTCCAACTATTCCCAATAGGGACGCCATCTTGAATACCCCCTATGAATACGTGTGGTTGCACGAAACGCGTCGGAGAGGAGCTACAGTGCAGTGACGTCACGCCGCCGGCACCACGTGGGTCCCGGCGGCCATCTTGGATTATCTGGTCAGTAACTGTTTTTTACTCTCACGCTTGCTGGATGGAATAAATCATTATTATCAAGCAGTATCATGCTATTGGGCCTCCTTTCTTTCTGGGGCTCCTTGTGAGCTTCCTACCACCCACAGAGTCACGTTTAAGGAGGACAGAGCCATGCTTAATAACTGAGTGAGCAGAGCACGGGAACAGACCAGACCACACTTAAGAGGGGTTCCTGGATTTAAACCTTAAGAGGGGTTATCTCTTACATGCGCACATTGATTGCGCATCTGGTGAGTGCGCAGTCTTTTATCAGTTTGGATACCACCACGTTTTGAATTTACCATAGAGATCTTCATGATCTTCTCAGCACTCAACCCACTGGGATATTGTGGACTGGGCATTCACTATTATTACTGATTAGTCACGACGCAGTGACAGGAAAAACTTATGTGTGGACTTTACCTTTTGCACTTTGTGTTTTGCACCATAGTGTGTTATGTACAATAATTTATGCACACCGAGACACTTGTTTTTATAGCAATTTAAGTATTTTATTCATTTATTTATGTTATATGCATTATTTATGATCCCCCAGCGCTGCACCCCCTGCTTATATATTTGTTCTGAGGTTGTTTAGTACCTTTTGGTGTTCAGCGGTCACAGTGACTTTCAGCGATCACTTACCCATTACCTGAATAACAGAAATATGTGAACCAATACTTACAACAAGTATGGTACAGAAGTGAATAGATCCTAAGTGGGATCTGGGGTGATGGTGGATAGTAAAATAAAAAAAGAAAGTAGTCCAAACTGGGACTAATAAGTGATATGTCCAAAAATTGGACTCAAATCAAGGAAAACGCATAAACATGCAAGTGAATATCTCTGCAATACCAAATGTGCATAAACACTACATAAAAAATTAATTATTAATTAACCCCAAACACTAAATAGTGTTTCCATACAGAAGATATATAAATCAAATCTATATCAAAGGAACAAAAAAATATATATATGCAATAGTGGAAATATCCGTGTGACTTTTATGACAATGAACATGCAACATAAACGCATGACACAAAACAAAAAATATGTGAAAAAAGTCCAAAATGGTGCCAACAACACCACGCAATCCAGAAAAAGAAAGACACTTGTGCCCATGGATGGTGAATGTGGGTAACCACAGAAGAATATCCTTAAGTAGCTGAATTAGCCGCTCACCTCCTTGCTTTGACCCGCAGGGGTCAAAACACTTTTGGGATCACAAAACTGGATCCTCCATGTATATGATTCCTCTGTCACTGCATACCTTCCCCTGCAACGATCTCCCTCTCAGGGATGTGTGTATTGGTGGCAATATCCTCTCCAGGTATACGGGTGGGGTGTAAGCCGATCTTTCAGTAAAAAACATAGGTAGAACTTCCCATAGTGTATTACCTTTTATTGCATTCAAAATGAGCAAAGTATTCCAAATTTTGCACTCACAGTGTTATCCTTGCTCAACAAGCATTTAGAACCTCATGTTCTGGGTGTATTTGCATGGGTATACTTGCTGGGTGTAGTAAAATGGCGCCCGCGCAGGAAGTGCGTCACCGCGTGCCTACGCGTTGCGTCACGTGGTCTCGTGACCCCGAGGAAGTCACGAGACCACGTGACGTAACCCAACGCGAGGTACACAGATACGCAGCTTCTGGTTTTGAGGTGATGCACTTCCGGTGTAGGACACCATCTTAGCACACCCAGGAAGTACCGCATGGATGCAGCATACCCACACACAGTGGGAGGAGGGGATCTGCATTAAAAAGCGAGTGGTCTTCCAATTTAATAAAGGACTGTCTTGCTCAAAATTAGTGCACTATGGAGGATCTCTTTTATTGCTCACTGTCATGGTGAGTAATATTCTGCAGAGTACCTATACAGAGGGTCCTGGAGATTGCAGTGGAAAGATATTGGAGGAGGATCATTATCAGGGAACCATAGGTGATCCTGAAGGCTTGCTGGAGATATATTGAAGGAGGAGAGCTATTAGCTGGTGATGTGAAGGATCCAGGGTGATCCTGAATGCTTTTTGGCCCTTTGTGGTCACATAAAGGAAGTGAGGAGGCACTGCAGCTGGAGTGGAAAAGGTGTGTGCTGGCACTTTCACGAATTCATCACGTATTGCACGTTGCATGTTTTAAAACACTTAATGTTGCAATTCATGGTCTTAGAGTGTGTCAAGAAAGGAGATATTTTATTTGTAATTTGTACTTACAAATCAACCAGCATTAATTTTTTTATAAAAAATACAAAAGATAAATATGAATAAATAAATATAAACATAAGCATATCCTTCATGCAGGAAACGTAAAAGTCCAGGAACTTCCTGGAAGAAAAGGAAGCCTTTATGGCCTACAACACAAAAGTCCATACCTGGAAAAGAAACATGGAAGACAAGGCCTCTATGGCCCAGACAATAGAAAAAAAATAACTTTTGTTTTTAACAGGCTTTTATGGCCAAGACACAAACTATATACAATTTCCATCCTCCACAGATGGCCTTTATGGCCAAACACTGCAAGACTTTACTTGCTGACTTAGAAAAAAAAAACAAACAAACATATACCCTAAAGAAGATTAAGGAACACAGATTTTCAGTACCTGCAGCCTTCCATCAAAAGGAACATACTTCCAAAATCTAGGGGGGTGATAAGGGGAAAATAGGGACAGATACCACCACCCGAGATCAACAGGCAGCAGCTACAGGCCCGATGTTCCTCCACGCCTCCATCCAAGCCTTTCGCCGCCACCTGTCTTTCTCAAGGCCCCCGAATCTTCCCAACCTCACCAAGAATGCCACACACCACCACTTGGACGGGGAGGACTTTCTGCCGGATGGAGACTGACACCGTGCATTCCACATTTAGTAACGGACTACTAAACTGACTAAGAACAAAGTGTCTAAATCAAAATCCAGACGACTTTCGAATGCTCCATACACCCACTCCGCATAAGACATGCGGTGCAGGAAAGGAACACCCAGAGCCCCACCCACCTCTTTATACACCTCTAGGTTAAAGGGGCACTGAAGCAAGAAGTGGTCCATAGTCTCCACTTCACCCAGACACTCCGACCTCAGACAACCATGGTCATCCGGAGGACAGTACTTCAAGTTACCCCTCACGTAGAGCCTACCATGGAAAGCGAGCCAGGCCTGGTCCCTAAATTTCAAGGGGACCCGTTCCAGATTTATTAAGCGCAAGCCCTCCCTCATAATATGGCCTGGGCAATCTTTCAAGGCCAGCGGCACATGGAAAGCGGTTGCCACAATCCTCTCACCCAGGAGTTTCCTAGGGAGAGATCTGACCTCCTCCGCCGTCACATGCCACCGCCGGAGTAACTTCAGGCTCGGGGGCTACATAATCCGGGAGCTTGCCGTGCTTGACCCGCAGGCTTTCACTGGCCCACCACTCTCCCAACAGCTCAGAAAGGGTGTTAGGGATCCGGATATGGCCAGAAATGTGTGGACTGACACAGGGAAGTAGCAGGCTTCAGGAACACAGGCGTAGTCAGGCTGGAGAGGTGGAATGGTCAGGCAGGCCGTAAGGTACTGTCAGGTGCCGCCTGGCAGTGTCACTAGCAGCCCACAGCACGGATTTCCTCAGGGCGCTGGGTCTAAGTTCCAGCCTGCTATTCACCAGGGCCCCTGATGGTGGGGATGGACTTGGTGCAGACTGGAACCAGGTCGCGACCCCTGAGTGCTTCCGGCTGTGGTAGAGAGTACTGGCAGGGGAGTGCAGGAACGGAGTCTGATGGGAAGAGGCAGGCAGACTTACTAAAGGTGATCCGTGCGGGATGGATGGATCGTCGGGTGAAGTAAGCGTAGTCAGACAGGCCGGGTCAGCAACGTGCGGGCAGTGAGGTACCGGAGGAGCAGGCAGAGAATAATCAGGGTCACAAGCCGGGTTCAGTAACTCACGGGCAGCGCGGTACCGAGGATCAGGCAGAAGGATGGTCAGGCAAGCCAAGGGTTCAACAGGAGACGGGCAGCAGAGGTCAGGATCAAAGCAGGGTCAGCAACTAGGCAGATAAGCAGGAACACAGGATACCAGGTACAGGGGCTCATGGGAAACATTACACCAAGGCCCTGATCACAGGCCTGGTCATTCCTTAAATACACTTCCTGCAATCAGCTTCAGGTGTTGGCTGACTGCAGGAGTGAGCTTCTGGCTGCTGAGAGAACCCGCTGGTCAGCCCTGGTACTGCAGCCCACACGGCAGGAGAGTCCCACCACCAGTGCTGAGTCCATTCCTGACAAAGGGTCTGAACCAGATCCGGAACAGCCCTACCCATGCAGGTGGTCTCTCTGCCAGCATATTACCAAAGTTATGTTTCATGAACATCAGAGAAAAGAAACCTATCGGGTTGACCATACCTAGGTCACCCTGCCACCTGGATGAGTAAGTTACATCCCGCTTAACAAGGTTTAGCCTGTTCCCCCATAACATCTGGAAGAAGCAGCTGTAGATCCTCGTATAGAGCAATTCTGGCAAAAGACAGACAAAGCTGACATATAAAAAGATGGGAACCAGGAAAGTCTTAATCAAGTCAACCCTTTCCCTTAAGGAGAGCCGCCACCCCTTCCAACACCTCACTTTGACCTCGGCATCAGACAGCCTAGCCTCCCAATTTGATTTGCTGTAATCAGCAGGACCGAAATTGATGCCTAGGACTTTTATACTCTGCTGAGGCACTGGGAAGGTGTCCGGGAGTAAGAAGTTCTCACCATCCCTACCCATCCAGAAAATTTCACACTTATCCTGGTTGACCTTTGAGCCTGACACCTCAGAATACTGATTCATCACCGAGACTACCTCCTGCGCCTCCTCAGTCCCGGAGATGAAGACAGAAACGTCATCAGCGTAAGCAACGACCTTCAGAGAGGGGCACCCACCGGCACCCTGCCCAACGCCCCACCATCCAACCTACTGACGAAAGGATCGATGGCGAAGGCATAGAGCAAGGGGCTCAGCGTGCACCCCTGGCGCTCACCAGATCCGATCACCTCTTCTGCTGTAATTACCCCTGTCAAACTTGCCGGCGGGACATTACCTTCCAAACCCGGTGTAGATTCCAAAAAGCTCAACATCCTTGTCCGGTCAAGGCTCTTCACACTCAGTAAGTCCTCATAAAAGGACCTAGAGACCTCCAGGATCCCTGACCTGGATTTTGTCAGGGACCCTGTACTATCCCTTAAGGCAGAGACCGTTTTAACCGCTGCGCTCTGTTTACAGTTCTGAAAAGGGTGGGGAGAGTGATATTTCCCATAGTCCCTCTCCAGAACCAAAGAGGCGTGCCAGTCGTATTGGAGCTTCCTGAGGAGAAGTTTAGCCTCCGAGATTGCCCCAGAATCTCCACTGCTAGAGACAAGGCGGTCGAGCTTCTTCCGCAACCGTTGGTAGGCGTTGTATCTATCAAGCTGTTTTCTTTTCCCTATGGCCTTGAAAAACCTGCCAATCCGCAACTTCACAACCTCCCACCACTCTGACTTACTGTTGCAAAAATCCAGCAACGTCACCTGAGCCTGAAAGGACTCGAAAGATCGTCTCACCTACTCGTCTTCCAGTAGAGACAAATTCATTCTCCAGATGCCCTTCCCTCTCAGTGACGCATCTGAAACATTCAAAGTCACAGTAAGCATAAGGTGATCAGAGAACTCCACCGCTCGACACTCAGGTGCCAAGAAGGCAGAGTTCTCCTTTAAAAAAAACCTGTCTATCCTACTCTGACTGCTACCTCTCCTAAACATGAAACCAGTGCTGTCTGGGTTGCTCTTAACCAAGGCATCCACCAGACCTGCTTCCCTGACTATTGAATTCAAAAAGACGCTATCATATCCCAGCCTGTCATTGGAGCCCCTCCTGCCCTTGGGCCTAGTTATGGTATTGAAGTCACCTCCAAAGACCACCAGCCAGGATGTAAATAAGAAAGGCTTGATCCTTGTGAAGAGACATTTCCTGTCCCATTTGGACTGCGGTCCATAGATATTAATTAGGTGCAGTTCCTGACCCCTCACAAGGACATCCAAGATCAGACATCTTCCAATCTCCACCTCAATTACCCGCCGGCACGTTACCATACCAGTAAAAAGCACCACAACTCCGCTGTAAGGCTCGGCCACAAGACACCAGAAACATGGACCACACCTCCACTCCCGCTTGACCAGATGTATATCAGCCAAGCTGGGCAACCTGGTCTCCTGCAAAAATAAAACATCAGCATCAATACTGCTGAGCAAAAATAAGCCGGTTTCTCTAGCACTTACAGATTTTAGGCTGGCAACATTAATGGTTGCCACCTTTATCGGAGCGGGAACTGCCATTAAGGTAATTGAGAATGGCGCTTCTTAACCTTCCTTTTGCTTTTCTTGGAAGGGTCCCTTGACCTCTTCAGAGACCCCCCCGGATGATTCTACTGGAATCCTAACTGGGTCATCCTCCATCGGGGGAAACAGGGTCACTTTGTAGACTCAACCAGGGCAACCTCAGGGACCACAGAAACCTCCTCCACCTCCCCAGGGCCTGCCCCAGAAGGCAGGGTGGCCTTCACTACCTCCTCCGCCGCATCCTCGGCATCCAGCCTTTCTAATTCAGCTGCTAACTCCCTATCTGAGATGTTACGGAGGGCTTCAGGACATGAATTATAGGAATGCCCCACAGAACCACACAAGTTGCACCTTATTACGCTGCAATCCATAGCCAGGTTCCCAGTCTCCTGGCACAAGGAGCAGCGCATCACTGGACAGGTGGCAGCAAAATGCCCCTTGGCACTACACCGGTGACATACCCGCGGTTGGCCGGGATAAAAAATAATTAACCTATCCCTGCCAAGGAAGGTAAAGGAAAGAATATGCTGGAGCATATTCCCCTCCACCCTCAAGCAGTTGGTTTTCGTCCATCTGCCTGTCCAGATAACCCTTTCATTCGTAATTTTACTCAGGGGTGCCATAACATCCCCATATCTCCCCAGCCACACCACAATATCTGCAGGGGGATCGACTTATTTCTCACCAGAACCGTGATTTTCTTGACCACGTTCTGGCGAGAAATCAATTTGGGAGACAGACCAACCCACCTCAGGCTACGGGCATAGATGGAATCGTATCTTTGCCAAAAAAGATCTAGCAAGTCTGGCCGCATAAAAGACACGTCGTATTCGCCCGTACCTACTGGGGCAATGAAAGCAAACAGATCCGTTGCTTTATAACCCATCTCAAGAATACGATTGATTACTTCCCTCCGACCTAAAGGGGGGGGCCCTCCCCTGTCCATTTTAACTGGACGACATTTCTGCGGGCAGCAGATGTCGGTAGGTTGCCTGCCCTAGCTTGCAGTGGCCTGGCCGGCCCCTGACCACCGCTAACCACCGCCGAGTAGCTTAAAGCGGGTGTAACTGCGGGGGCGCTCCCAACAGAGGGAGTAGGGTCCGAGGAGACCACAGCCAGGGCAACAGAAGGAGCCTGAACCTGAGGACCATGGACCACCGGCTCAGACCCCTGAACCCAGGGACCCGGACTACCAGAAGGGGGACTGGACAATGCAGAGCCCTGGGGGACCCGCACCTGCACCTCAGAAACAACTACAGGGGAACTAAGCAGTGCCTGGCCCGCAAGGACTTGGGTTTGGGAACTCAGCCCACCAGATGGGGACCCCAATGGGACAGACACAACCCCAACACCTTTCACAGCCTTCAAGGGGGCGGAGCCACCAGGAGCCTGCACTGGGGGGACAGAGGAACCCGGACCACCCGATCCCTGCACTATAGGTATAGCCCCAGACATATTACCAGCAGGGACATCCATTGGCGCGTCACCGCCAGACTTTGCAGAGTCCTGCAGCACACCTTCGGCCATCAGCACGCCATCTTTTACTAACACAGAGCTTCGCAGGGAGCTGGGGATCCTCTTCAGTTGGACGAAGACCGCCCGATCCTTCTTCGCCGGCTTACGCGGCATATTCTCTTCGTCACTTCCGGAATCCTCGGAAGTGAACTGGAAGTGGTCACTTCTCAACGCCCGCTCCATTTCCTGGACGAAGTTGAGCTTTCCCGTGGTCTCTGCCTCCTCCACTTGCGTTCCCCAATCCGCGCTCTGCTGCCCGAGGGGGAGGGAGCTTGACTCACGCATGGCCTCGGTGTCCTCCATATTGGCCGTTGCCACTTCCGAAATCGATGCGGCGAGCTCAGCCAGCCCCTGCATCGGCTCACCTCCCATCACCGATGCATCTGACAGCTCCTCCATGGAGGAGACCTCGTCCTCAGGGCCTCTTGCCGCCGCCACACACTTGCTCCT